GATGGTGATGATGATGATGATGACGGTGATTATGCTCATCATGATAACGACGACGATGCTTTTGATGATGATGATGGTGACCATGACGAGTATGATGATGACGGTGACGATGACGATGATGACGATGATGACGATGGCCATGATGATGACGATGGTGATTAAGATGATGATCATGATGATGACGATGCTTATGACGATGATGATGACGATGATGCTGACGACGCTGATGATGGTGAGGAAGGAGGAGGGAGGAGGGAAGATAATAAGGAGGGATGAGGAGGAAGGAGAAGGAGGAGGTAGGAGGAGGGAGGAGGATGACGATCATGATGATGATGATGATGGTGACGATGACTCCGATGATAAGGATGATGATGATGATGATGATGATGACGACGACAATCATGATGACGATGATGATGATAATAATGATGATGATGATGACGATAATGATGCTGACGATGATGACGATGACGATGACGATGACGATGACGATGATGATAATGATGATGATGATGATGATGATGATGATGATGATGATGATGATGATGATGATGATGGTGATCGATGGGATATCCTGGGAGGTGTCCCGGGGGCTCGTTGGATGGTGGCCTTGTGGGGTCCTTTTGGGAGTCTCTTGGAAAGCCTTTGGGGGCCTCCTGGGTTTTTGTTGCAGCCTTTTTGGGGCCTCTTGGGGATCCTATCGGGCGGCCGGCTCGAAATGTCGGTTCGTGTTCCCCCTCTTGGGCCTCTTTTGGGGATGTCGTCGGCTTCTCTTCGGCTATATATATATATATATATATACATATACATGCATATGTGCATATTCCTATTTATATATTTTTACAGGGCCGGGGAGCCCGGAAAAGCGGCACACGGTGCCCCCCCCCCCCAAACGAATTTCGGTCTCCCCGAGCCTCTGGGGCGCTCCTGCAGAGTGTTTCCGTGGATCTCCGGTCCTCCTGGACCCCCCAGGCAGGTCTGTCTTGCGAGTCCGACGCGAAAAAAGAAGCCCCCACGACGGCCAAAGAGGGCCCGGAGACACCCAAAGATCGGCCCAAGACGCCCAATATGGGCCCAAGACTGCCCAAGAGGCCTCCAAGACGCCCCAAGAGACCCCCAAGAGGCCTCCCAAGAGAGCCCCGAGAGGCTAAAATGGTTGATTTTCCTGTGTGTTTTTCGATGTGTTTGGCCTTCTCGCTTTTTCCGCTTCCCCACGCTCCAACACGGCCCAAGAGGCTCCCTAGATCGCCCCAGTACTGCCCAAGAGGCCCCCAAGAAGGCCCCAACACGGTCCAGGAGGGCTCCAAGACCGCCCAAGAGGCGCCCAAGGCGGCCCAAGAGAGCACCAAGACGGCCCCAAGAGAGGCCCAAGAGGGCGCCCAAAAATTCAAAATTTAAGTTTTCCGCCGCGAGCGGGCCCCGAGAGGCCCCAAGAGGGCCCCATGAGGCCCCAAGAGGCTCCCCAGAGGCCCCAAGGAGCCCCCAAGAGGCCCCCAAGAGGCCCCAAAAAGATCCCAAGAGGCCCACAAACAGCCCCCAAGAGGCTTCAAAACTGCCTCCCACAGGCCCCCGAGAGGCGTACCACGAGATCCCAACACAGCGGTCTCCCCCTCTCATTATCCCTTCTCTTTGTCGTCGCCTTCTTCGTCGTCGTCGTTGTCGTCGTCTCCATCCTCTTCCTCGTCTTCATCCTCCTCCTCCTCCTCCTCCTCCTCCTCCTCCTCCTCCTCCTCCTGCTCCTTCTCCTCATCCTCTTCAGCTCTTCCGGTTCAGCTCAATCGGCACAGGACTGAGGAGGAGAAACAGGAGGAGAAGCAGGAGGAAGGGGGGAAAAGAAACGGGCACAGAAGAATACGAGGACAAATAGAACGAGGAGCAGATAAAGGAGCGCGGAGGAGAAGTAACGATTACCACCCAGCTAGCAAACGAAGCAAGGGGAAAAGGATGATGAAGAAGCAGTAGTCGAACCCGCTTCGTTTTGGATTTCCTCGCAACTCCGACTGCGGAAGCGCATTGCTCCATAGTGTTCCCGCTTTCTTCGCCTGAGACATTCTTGCAGACCTTCCGAGATGCGCATGTGCATGCGCGCCCAGGGCTGCGCAAACGATTTGCGTATACGTGTACATACCCTTGCACGCGTACATCCATATTCACAAATGCAACGTGTACGTATGGGCGCAGATGCGCGCGCATGTACGCACGCACGCACTCCGCTAGCTTGCGAAACTCAAGGACCAAGGTGCATGGCGCGCAGCGCCAGTGCAGTCTTGTATATATATATATATATATATATGTGTGTGTGGGGCGCCTCCTTCTCCGTTTCGGGGCCTTTTGGGGCCGTCTGGGGATTCTCTTGGGGGCGTTTTCGGCCGGGTGGGGGTGGTTTTAGAAGTCTGTGGAGCCGTTTTGGAGCTTCGGAGGTTCGACAAGGGGCAATACATAACGGAGATCAGCGATTTTTGCATTTTGGGTTCTCCTGGGGGTCTACTTGGAAAGTTTCCGGAGATACGGTCGGCCCTTTTGGGCAGTCTTGGAGGTATCCTCGTCCACCATGGCAGTTTTGCTGGCTTCCCAGATCCGTCTTGGAAACCGTTTTGGGCACTGGCGATGCCGTGGGGCGCTCGAGTCGATTAACAGGAAACGCACGGTGCGTTGTTCGAACGAGAAATGTCTGTCGCTTTTCCCAGAGGAGGCGGATATGTCCGATGCACAGAAGAAGCACAAAACAGCGGGGGAGAGGCTGTGTCAGAGGTGCGCGGAAGAACGTCAGAGGACGACGCTCGAGTCGAATAATAGGAAACGGAAAGCCGAGGCGGACGCGAAGCCGCTGACGTGCGCGGCGTGCGGAGGAGCGTCCTCAGACACGAAACATTTGAAACAGACGCAAAAGGAACATCATCGAAAGGCGACACAACTCAAAGTCGTGTGCGGAGACTGCGCAAAACTCGGGTTCACCGCGCGCAGTTGCCAGGCGTATCAGTGCAGCGGCGCATGCAAGAGAAGACTACCGAAGTCGGCGTTCCCCGATCCGCACAATGTCCCGCGCGACGCACAGAAGGGCACCCTGAAGTGCAAGACGTGCAAATGATGCCCAATCGGGCGCGCGTGCTTGGGAGAAAAAGGAGGACGGGGAGAGAAGGATGGGGGGTGAGGCGGACAATGGGGGGGAGAAGCATCGCATAGGGTGAGGTGAAGCGGGGCAGGAAGAGGAGGGGGACGACGAGGAGGTGGGGGAGGAGGAAGAGGAGGGGAGGGGGCACTGAGATGAGGCTCTCGGTTATGGGTTGTGGGGTAGAGGTTTGTGGTATGTGTATGGGGATGGAAGAGGCCGGGCAGGAGGAGGAGGGGGACACGGAGACAAGATTCTGGGTCATGGGTTATGGGTTAGAGGCTTCAAGTATGTGTATAGGGATCTCGCGGCACGCCTCTCGGGGGCCCCTGGAATGCAGTTTTGAAGTCACTTGGGGGCCGATTCGGAGGTCCTGGGGGGCTTCCACGAAGGCGCTGCAGCGCGTCTGGCAGCGCGCGAATGCTGTGGACAGTAGGGAGGAACAAAGCAGGAGGGGGAGACGACGGGGGAGGAGAAGGAAAAGGAGGAGGAGAAGGAGGAGGAGGAGGAGGGGGAGGAGGAAGAAGACGACGAGGACAAGTGAGGATCTTGTCGTGGATCCTGGGAGGGTTTTTTTTCGAATGGCCTGAGGCCCGTCCCGCCAATCCCGCCACCGTGCCTGGGTTGTGAGTCAGAGGCCTCTGGAGTGTTCTTTGGGATCTCGTGGTCGGTCTCTCGGAGACCTCAAGTGGTACCGACCGAGTACCACGCGAGGTGCGTCGTCCGTATGCCTCAAATGGTACCGCCCACACTTTGGAGACCCTTTGGGGGCAGTTTTGGGGCCTCGTGGGGCCTGTTTTGGGCCTCTTAGGGCATGCTTGGGGCCGGGAACACTTCCAAGCAAGAGTTCCTCGTGTATTTCGCTCACCAAGGGATCCTCAATCGGTCGGACCTGCGACGTCGGAACCTGGGGGGGATGGGATCGGTGAGGGAGGAGGCAAGATACTTGGGACCGTTTCTGAGCATGCGGGATTCGGCTAGATCGGAAGTCGTTCGTCGATGTCAAGCTGCTCGTGGTGGCTTTCATTATCTGGGTAATCTTTGGAGTCTGACGGACCTAGCAACGAGATGGCGTAGATGCTTAGTTATAGGTTTTGTGCAGAATGCTCTCCTCTCGGGCCTCGAGAGTTTCACGCTGACCCACACCGATTACGAAATACTGGATTCCTGCCTTAGCAGATTGGGTCGGGCGGCGATGGGTGGTAAGGCTGCTAATAGAGAAGGAGATCATATTACTAGTCTTACTAACAAGGAGATTTTGAAGTTTTGGAGGGTCCCCCATCTGATCAGGAACTTAGATTGCGACGACTGAAAATGTACCAAGCCTGGGGTCGACAGTCTAACCATCACTCGCAGCTGCTCGTGGCGCTGTTTGGCCAGTTTAGTTTCGACCCCAGGCCGCAAGTGGGCTCGGGGAGACCGACAGAGTTTGCTTCACCGTATCTTCGGCAGTTGGCGAACGACCTCGAGGTGGCAGCTACGCAGCTACCGTATGAGGAAATTCGGGAAGTGGCGGCAGATCTAAACAAGTTCGCTGACGCCGAGGAGATGGGCGCTTTTTGTGCAATTGACTTGAATGAGCTCCGCAGTAAAGCCTTCGGAGTCTGTTTCCCACCACCTGGGTGGGCAACCAGCACCGCTCCTCTGCCACAAGCTTGCCGAGGAAAAGGAGACAGAGACTTTGTTTGTAGCCGCAGCAAGCAGGGGAACGTGTGCGGGGCGAGTTTTACAACCAAGGGGGCATTATTATCACACATGAAGGGGGCCCATAACATACGCAATTTATTATATGTCATATCGCCGAGCAACGGGTGTATTTGTTGCAAGCAAGTATTAGCTACACAAAAGGACGCAGCAACTCATCTTGAACGGTCGCTCAAGCGAGGTTATTGTTTGCCAGAGGCTGCCCGAACCTTGAACCACCTTCAGCCTCTCCGAAGCTATCACTGCTTATGTTGTGAATATGAGGGCGGCAGCTACGACGACTTGTGCAGCCATCGTGTGTCGAGTCATCTTCCAGGTGAGATCCGAGCGACACCAGAGTTGCCCAGTGGATCAGGATCGATTCGCAATGCCAGAGGTCGCCGCGATGGAGATAGACAAGGTTACCATGCCCGCCTGGCGCAGCCTCTCGAACATCGGCTCAGATGGCGGCGGCCCAGCACAGAAAGACGAGGACGCCCCGACCGCCAAGAAGCTCAAGGCCGACAAGCCGAAGCACAAGGACATCATCGTACCGATCGCGAAGCTGGTCATGGCGAACAGCAAGAGCATCGCAGACCTCGAGGGCGTCGCGTACGTGAAGTACCAGATCGGAGTCGGCCGCCCGTGCGTGGCCGCGGGGCTCGCGGCGGGCAAGCGTTGCGACACGGAGAGCAAGGAGCTCAAGAAGAAGGCCGCCTCGGGACAGGCAGCGGACCACAAAGCGCGTGGCGGCCCGTACCTGTCGGTCTTCATGGCGACGTTCGGTTACGGAGCCAGCCGCGTGGTCCCAGAGGCGGGCAAGGACGACGAGAAGACTCTGGTGAAAGAGATGAGGCTGTTCCCCCAGGACAAATTGGCGACGTCCACGGTGGCGCAGGCATCGACCATGGCGGGGCACTTCAGGATCAAAACCCACAAGAAAGTCGAGGGCCAGGAGCAGCAGTGCATGATCATGTGGCACTTCCCTCCGAATGGCGAGTACAGCAACATGATCAACGACTGGTTTCAGAGGCTGCTCGTGGCGGAGGGAGGCCAGCGTGTATTCGGAGCAGCTCCGCGCGGCCCGCTCGAGCGAGCCATCAGCCAATTCCTGGACGAAAGCAAGCGAATGAGACCCAGCTGCCGCCCCTTCTGCACAGCAGTGCTCGCTTGGCTGCAATGGTGGCCAAGGGCTTCGTTTTTCCTCCTCGTCCTCCTCCTCCTCTCCCCTCGCCCTCTTTGCGTGCTGGTGCGCAGAGTGAAGTAGCTCCCCCTGCCTCGGCGTCTTTGGAGTCGGGACCGCAGTTCAGTATCCAAGTCCCGCGTCGTGGCAGAGGCAGGGGGAAAGGTGGTCGGAGTGCGCGTGGCAAGGACTCCAGCCCTGCCCATCCTCGCGCCTAGAGGCCAGCCGCTCCTTCGGGGGGCTGCGTGCCTCGGGAGCGCGCTGGCAGGGCCAGTGCGGCAGTGGCCGAGAGTGGGCCACATCTCAGCAGTTAGGATTCGTCGGCTTCGTAGGTTGAGCCTCCTCTGGGTACTACCTCAGGCGGAGTTAAGAAGGCGTGCGGTGCTGGAAGCTATCAGCAGATGCAGCTCGTGCTTCGCTTGAATCTGGACCCCTCGAGCTGGAAAGGGAAAAGGCCCTCTTGGGGGGCCTCTTTGGGCTTCCCGGGGGCGTCTGGGGGCCGAGGGCTCGAAATGAGTTTTTTTCTCCCCTCTTGGGCCCGTCTTGGGGCCCTCTTGGGCCGTTTTGGGCGCCTCTTGGGCCGTCTTGGGGCCCTTTTGGGCCGTCTTGGGGCCATCTTGGGGGCCTCTTGGGCCGTCTTGGGGCTGTCTTCGGGACCTCTGGGGCCGTCTTGGGGCGTCGGGAAGTGGAAAACGCGAAAACCCAAAATTCATTGAGAAACAACTGAAAAATCAAAGATTTTGGCTTCTCGGGGCCCTCTTGGGAGGCCTCTTGGAGGCTTCTTGGGGCATCTTCGAGGCCTCTTGGCCCGTCTTGGAGCTATCTTGGGCGTCTTTGAGCGCTCGTTTGGCGTCTTGGGGCCCTCGTGGGCCGTCTTGGAGGCCTCTTGGGGCTCTCTTGGGCCCGGGGGGGGGGTCAAATCTTCGGTTTGGAGTCCCCAGGGGGGGGGGTATGGGGGGGGAACAATCTCACACGCTTCGAGACCCGCAAGGGGTCGGCGGACTTGGGGCCTACTCTCCGGGGATTGCTACAAGTGCCCCGGGCCAAAGGTGCGCCCAGCCTTTTGCTCAGTTCTTGGGGCCTCTGGAGCCCTCTGGGCCTCGTTGAGGGGTGCTCTGGAGGCTGTGGGGGCCTCCGTGGAAGTCCTGGGGGGCACCTTGGAACAGGGGCACTTCTGGCAACACCCGATACTTGTGTTCGGCGGCTCTCCTCCGTGTTCCAGTGCAGGTCCAGCTGAGAATGGATACCGCTCAAGATAGCAGGATGCAAAGGCAGCGGCATGCCCTGCCTTTGCGTTTGCGTGTGGTTTCTTAGATTCCTCGCTCGTGTACTCTTCCTCCCTTTTTCCCGCGCTCAGCGTGGCCTCTTGTGGTCTCCATCGGGCCTGCTGCTCCTTCGGCTTCTCTATCTCGCCTGGCTCTGGCGGCTAGCACATGCCTCTCGCCTGTCCCGTTTGATCCAGCCGCCCACGGAATGATATATGCAGTCCGAGCTCCAACAAAACCTGTATCCATCCTAACCCGATCTTTTCTCCTTCATCATTCCTACTCGATCCTCCCTCATCCATGATTTCTCCGACCTCCCTCACCCAGTCCTCTATCTTCCTCCTGAACTATCGATCTCCACTTTCTTCCTCCCGTTTGCTCCACCCGCATCCTGCCTCCTCCTAGCTCCCCTCCCTCGCCCGTCTCCGCCTCAATGGGAAGGAGTGTGGAACGTGATGGAACCCACTGCGGCACTCGAGCTGGCCGTGGCGAAGCAAGATTGCTTGGACGGGAGGGGGCCTATCCCTTGGGGCGCCAGCAACCGACGATGCGCTCATGCTTCTCATCCTGCCAACCTCGACGGGGAGAGAGTCAGAGGAGGATACACATACATATACATGCTTTCATGTGTATATATATATATATATATATGTATTCCTCTGCCTGTATTTTTATCAGCCCGGGCGGGGGGAACCCACCCCCACCCCCAAAACCGGACTCCCAGGATCTGGGGCTATGGGACCCTCCAGACTGGCCTCGAAGCGGCCTCCCAGGCCTCGCAGGGCGTTTTGCCAAGCCTTCCCAGCACACCTCGGGCGATCAGGGGGGTCATCGGAGACGTCTCGGAGACCCCCAAGACAGCACAAGAGCGCTCCAAGAGTGACCGACGTGAGAGGTCTCCAGGACGGCCCCAAAGAGGCCTCCGAGAGCATTACCAAGAAGGCCCCAAGAGGCAAAATTCATGGATTTTCTGTTGGCTGTTGGTGAATTTGGGGGTTCTCCTCTTTTCGGCTTCCCGACGCTCCGAGCCTGCGGTCTTCTGGGCGTCCGAAGCCGCCTGTGAGGCTCGAAAGAGCTTCCAGGCAGTCCAAGAGAGCCCCAAAACGGCACAACACGGGTCCAAGATGGCCCTTAGAGCCCCATGGCGGCCCAAGATGGCCTCAAGACACCCTCCGAAGCATTCCAAATCGTGACCCGGTCGTTCAGGGAGACCGCGGTTGGAGGCAGGGTGGCCCGAGGAAGCCCCCAGAGCCCCCAGAATACGCCCAGGAGGCCTTCAGAAGGCCTTGAGAAAGCCTGAAACAACTTATGTGAGGCCCCCAGAGGCTCTCCCAGGAGGAGCCTCCGCAGAAAAGAGCTGAGGAGGATGGGGGAAATGCGCAGGGTATGGCGAACATGAGAAAAAAGAAGCATGGAGGAAGGATAACGAATAACATTATCATAGCGGCGATGCCGGAAAAGGCAACAAGGAGTTATCGCTAAATTGTCGGCTTGACCTTCCTGCTATTCCGCCTGCATACCAAACTTCAAGGACCGAGGTGCATGGCGCGAAGCGCCACTGTAGTCTTGTATTTGTACAGAGTGCTCATTTCTAATTCGTGTGCTGCACGTGGCCTCCGCCGCCCCTTCGGCGCGCTTCATTTCTAAGTCGTGGCCGGAATTGCAAATGACCGGAATTAGAAATGAACGCGCTTGTTAGGCCCCGGAGGCCCCAGGGCAAATGCATTCGAGCGCGCGCCCGAGTCTGGATCTGGGGCGCGCCATCCCCGATCGGGCACGCGTAGACGTGACGCGCAAATCCTGCGTGTCGCGCACACGTGACACGCAAAATCTGCGTGTCACACGGAGCGCGCCTGGGGCGGGACACGCAGAATCAGGGGGGCGGACGCGCAAAATCTGCGCGTCGCACGCCGGGGGTCCGGGGGCCGGGGTGGGGACACGCAGAATCTGCGTGTCACGCGGGCCCCACCAGGGGGGCGGTCACGCAAAATCTGCGTGTCGCACGCCAGGGGTCCTGGGGGCCGGGGTGGGGACACGCAGAATCTGCGTGTCACGGTCCCAAAATCTGCGTGTCGCACGCCGGGGGTCCAGGGGCCGGGGTGGGGACACGCAGAATCTGCGTGTCACGAGGGCCCCACCAGGGGGGCGGACACGCAAAATCTGCGTGTCGCACGCCAGGGGTCCTGGGGGCCGGGGTGGGGACACGCAGAATCTGCGTGTCACGCGGGCCCAAAATCTGCGTGTCGCACGCCGGGTGTCCGGGGGCCGGGGTTGGGGACACGCAGAATCTGCGTGTCACGAGGGCCCCACCAGGGGGGCGGACACGCAAAATCTGCGTGTCGCGCGCCGGGGGTCCCGGAGGCCGAGACACGCAGAATCTGCGTGTCACGCGGGCCCAAAATCTGCGCGTCGCACGCCGGGAGTCCGGGGGCCGAGGTGGGGACACGCAGAATCTGCGTGTCACGCGGGCCCCACCAGGGGGGCGGACACGCAAAATCTGCGTGTCGCACGCCGGGTGTCCCGGGGGCCGGGGTCGGGACGCAGAATCTGCGTGTCACGCGGGCCCCAGCAGGTGGGGGCCAAGGGCCGGGGACCGTGGCGCTCCCGGAGGTCCAGATGCCGGGGGCCAGGGCCGGGACAGGCAGAATCTGCGTGTCACCTCGAGAACGCCGCGCAGGGACACGCAGAATTTGCGTGTCACGGAGGCGTTCGCGTCTGCGCGACACGCGGAGCCTGCGTGTCAGTCACTCCGCGGCCTTGAGGCTTCAGACTGACGTGACACGGAACGCGCTCGGGGCGGCGTCGCGTAAGTAAACGTGACGCGCAAATCCTGCGTGTCACCCGGAACGCGCTCGGGGCGGCCGGGCGACGCGACACGCAGGATTTGCGTGTCGCGTAGACGTGACACGCAAATCCTGCGTGCCACACGGAACGGCGACGACGTTGTTGTTGCCGTTATTATTTTGATTTTTTACGAGCGTAAGCAGAAGCTGCGCCCTGACGCCTTGGAGACACGTTGGGCGTAGCGCTTGAGCACATGCCTTCCCGTCGGCACCTCTCACTTGCAATTCGTGGCCGGAATTGGAAATGACCGGAATTACACATGACCGGAATTACAATGGGTGCTCTGTATATATCTATATGCACACATATGCACCATACTGTAAAAAGCTGTAAATAAACACATCTATATAGTTAAATGTATACACACCGATATCTAGATAGCTATATAGATAGATAGATAGATAGATAGATAGATAGATAGATATATAGATAGATAGATATGTACCTTGCAAGCGAGCTAGATTTGCTTAGTGTTGGGGTTTTCCGTTCTCGTTGCAATGATATACTGATTTCTCGTAGTAATTGCTGTGGTTTCACTGGCAACTCGAACAGGGGCGCGTCATCATAATATATATATATATATATATGTATATACATATATAAATATATCGAATAGAGAGATACATATATATAGTTAGATATGTGCTATATATATGTATATATATATAGGTGTATATATAGACATATATATATAATGGTATTGATAGATAGATAGATCTATAGATAGATAGATAGATAGATCGATAGATGGATAGATACACCGATCGCCGATCATGCTCCTACCCCTGCCTCGTCTTTGCCTTCTTGGGCCTCCTGGGGGCTGTGGCCCCCGTCGCCACGGCTGGAGCCGCGCCGGGAGTTTGGTCGGCACGCGCCCCGGGAAAAAGGTCCAGGGAGGCGCGGCGTCCGGATTTTTGTTGGACCCCTGGGCGACGGAAGGAGCCGCGCGGGGGCAGGGGCGGAGAGAGGGAACGTGCGGGCGGGGAGGCAGAGAGAGGGGCCGAGATAGTGAGAGGCACTGCGTGCACATGTATATGTATGTGTACATGAAATGTGCACACGGGTTTATATTATACTTATATATATACACACAGCTATATACACAGAAAGAGAGGGAGGGAGAGAGGGAGAGAGAGAGAGAGAGAGAGACCAACAAATAACAAACGAGAGAGAGAGAGAGAGAGAGAGAGAGAGCGAGAGAGAGAGAGAGAGACAGAGAAAAACAAACAGAGAGAGAGAGATTGAACGAGCGAAGAGAGAGAGAGAGAGAGAGAGAGAGAGGCAGAGAGAGAGAGACGGGGGGGGGCAATACGGGCGCGCTCGCGCCACATCCGACATCCGCACCCCTCCCTCCGGTTCCCTTCCTGCAGCGCTCGACCTCCTCTTCGCCCACCCGGGTGCCGAACGAGACGCTGGCCCCTGCATGGCACCTGCTGTGCGAGGGCGCCGGGGGCCAGGCGAATGGACTGAGGACGGGGGCGAGGAGCACCGGGGGAAGAGGAGGGGCAGCAGCTCGTTATTTTTGCCGCCGATCGGCGCGGAGCCCTCGCCCCCCGCAGGCCCACGGACCAGGTCTTGGCTGTCTGGGGCGCCTGTTTCGAGCAGGCGGGGTCTCCCCCATAGGACGCACGGTTGCAGACAGCGGCAGCGAGCAGAGGTCTGCAAGCAGACCCCCCCCCCCCTTCCGCCCAATGCTGAAACGACGAATGAGAAAACGCTCACCCGAAGGAGGAGGAAACCAAGGACAACGTTGCCCCTTGGCTTTCGGATCATCACTCGGCGCTCCGGCGACAGCCAGGGACGACAAGGGCACCCCCAGAACGCTCTGGAAGACCGCCGAGAACCGACGAAGACGCCCGAAAACTTCGAACTCCACTCGGAGGAGGAGGAGGAGGAGGAGGAGGAGGAGGAGGACGAGAACGAGAACGAGGAGGGGGAGGACGAGAACGAGAAGGGAGAGGAGGCAGAGGAGGCAGAGGAGCAGGAGGAGGAAGAGGCGGAGGAGGAGGAGAAAGAGCAGGACGAGGAGGAGGAGGAGGAGGAGGAGGAGGAAAGGAGGAGGAGGAGGAGGAAAAGGAAAAGGAACAGGAGGAGGCACAGGGGAGGAGGGATGAGGACGGCGACGTCAGCGACAGGTCGACCACGACGGCGACGACGGCGAGCCTCTGCGGGCGCCTCGCGCCTCTGGGGGGGGGGGCCTTCGGCCCTCCCGGGGCCGGCGCGCGGTCCTCGGGGCGGGGGCGCGGCCAGAGGCGGACGGCCGAAGACGACGGTCGGGCTCGAGGATCCCGTGTGCGCATCGGAGGTTGACAGACCTCCTGCCCTGACACGTCGATTAAGGACTTGGCCGTTTTCGGTTCGCGAGAGGGCGTCGCGGCCGTCATTTTTGC